AGATCAATGGATAATATTATGATAAACAGAGAAAAATTGGAAGTTGTCAGTTTTTGTTTTCCTTGGATCTACATCAATATTTTTCATTGTTCTTAGATCCACATCAACGTCTCTGGAAGCAACACTCAAGAAACCAAATGACACTGTGTATTGGACAAATATGTTGTAAAGGACCTCTTAAAGGTGCTAAAGATCTATCTTTGAGGTCTAAGATGTACTTGACCCAAGCCATTGTATTTTCAGTTGGTTCATATGAATATAAAAGTTAGACAATGTGTAAGAAAGATAGAAGTAGAACTGATGTCTTTGAATTGTAGTGTTGGTGAAGAAAATTGACTATAACCTGGACTCCCAAAAGAACCAACAAGTCAGTCCTGGACAAAGTACAGCCATCTAGATGCTCCTTGAAAGGAATGAAGGCAAGACTTCATCTTATAGAATTTGGATATGTGAGGAGGGGCCCGTCTGTAGAAAAAGGTCATGCTTAATAGAGAGTCCCTGAAAAAAAGGCAGGTCCTTAATCAACTGTGCTGAGACAATGTCTGCAAGATCAGACTAAACTTCACAGCAGAGATTAGGACGTCAGTGCAGTATTTGACAGTGCTGTGCTCTATGGTCCAGAGGGTTGACTAAGAGCTGATTCAAAGGCATGAACAGCAATAGCAACAATCATCAAACCCATGTGATTTTTATGTTTTTAATTCATTCATTGTTGTACATTTTCTTCTCCTCCCTCAATCTACTTTGCAGTATACCTCTTGTTCCAGATTGCTGTCATGTATAAAATGCTTAATGATGTATTTCTTTTAGACAGTTCTTCCCCTCATCTGTTTCCATGCTGTGTTCGTTGTCTATTCACTTTTCCCTATATTCCCTCCAACCTCCTTCCTCAGTCTTAGAACAGTGATGTTATGCAGTATTTGTCCTCTTATGACTGAGTTATTTCATTCAGCATAATGAATTCGAGGCTTACCCATGTTGTTTAGTGCTTTATGAGTTCATTCTTTTTCAGTGCTGCCTAATATTCCATTGTGTGAATGCACTTATCGTTTTTCTATCCATTCGTTTGTTGATGGGCACTTGGGTTGCTCCCATGTCTTTGCTATTGTGAATAACATAGTAATAAATATGGGTGGGCATACATCTGTTTGAGTCATGGTTCTGTTTTTTTATGGTCTATTTGCAGCAGTGGGATTGCTTGGTCAAGTGGCATTTCTATTTCCAACTTGAGAAAGTGCCAGACCACCTTCCATAGTTGTTGTACCATTTTACATTACCAGCAGTAGTGAGTAAGAGTTCCAACCTCTCCCCAACTTTGCCAGCATTTGTTGTTTGCTGCGCTGTTAAACTTTGCTGTTGTTGCTGGGGTGAGATGATACCTCATATTTGTTTTGTATCTTTCTGAGAGCCAGGGATCTTGAACATTTCTTCCTGTGTGTGTTTGCCATCTGAATGTCTTCTCTGGTAAAGTGAATAGACACTATCTAGAATCAGTTTTATTGTCTAAAGGACCATAAAGATGATATGACTCACCTTGTTGAATTTATAAATGAGGAAACTGAGGCACTGAGCACTTACATGGTTTGCACATTGAGATTGATCCTGTAGTGACTGGGATGCAAGAAGAACTCATTTCTCACTCCGATAACAGTGGCAAAGTTTAACAGGGCAGCAAGTAATAGATGCGGGAGAGGATGTGGTGAGAAAGGAACTCTTATACATTGTTGGTGGGATTGTAAACTGGTGCAACCGTTCTGGAAGGCAGTTTGGTGCTTCCTCAAAAAGCTGAACATAGAAATTCCATATGACCCAGCTATTCCACTACTTGGATTATACCCTGAGAAAATGAGAACTGAGGCACAAACGGGGATTTGTACACCAGTGTTCATAGCAGCATTATTCACCATTGTAAGAACATGGAAACAGCCTAAATGTCCAACCACAAACGAATGGATTGAGAAATTATGGTACATTCACACTGTGGAATACTGTGCAGCACAGAGGAGCAATGATTTTGTAAATTATTACCTAACTTGGGAGGGGCTGGAGAGCATTATGCTGAGTGAACGAACTCAGTCCCACAAGGATAAATATTGTATAAAACCGTTATTATAGAATGAGTATAGGATCCAGGAGGGGTGGGAGAGGCTGGAAGCAGAGGGATGTGGATGTGCAGAGGGAAGGGGGCATTAATCATTGGGTTGTATAATTTGATGGGTGGGAGGGTGATAGAAATTGAAAGAATTTGTTCAAATTTGTGTTTGAATTGTGTAAATAAAGTAGTAGAAAAGAAAGAAGAAAAAAATAAAAGAACTCATTGCAATTTGGTCCTCCTCCTCCCTTGACATTATAGCTTCTAAAGAGACTTGGCCCAGAGCACTTGTTTAAATTGAGACTTCATCCACTAGAAGGAGGCCTAACTACATGTGTAAACGATACAGCAAGATAAAGGTTGCAATTGAGAAGACTGGCTTTTGGATCAGATTAAATCCTCACTTTATCACTTAGTTGTTTGTAATCTTGCATAAATTGCAAAAAATCTGACCAAATTACCTAATATCTCTGTGCCCCAGTTTTCTTGCTTGTTAAGGGGGAGATAACAAAGTTTTTCATTTGCAAAATGGGAGTAACAAATAATACCAATTTTTTTTCATGACATATGTAATAGTAATATATCAAAGATGACTATCAAGCCAAGTTCATACTAAACATTCTTTGTACATATTAACTCGTATAAAGCAAATTGGACATAAGAAGGAGAATGAGTAGGAAACTAGGTCACTACTGTCCTATATTTTATCAATAAGGCATGATTATCAAGTCATTTCCAACTAATGGTGACCCTTCATCAGACTTCCAAGACTGAAATCTTTATAGGAGGAGTTCTTTATCTCTCTGCCTCGTCTTTTTCTCAAGGAGTGACTGGTAGATTTGAACCATTGACCATTCAGTTAGCAGCCCAACACAACACACTACCTTTGCCAGCAGGCCAAAAATTTAGCCTTCTGGTTTCCTTTCAACTAATATGCAAAAAGTAACATGGTGAATCGCACAGCTTTTAGGGACCTTAGCATTTTGCATCACTTGTTATGCATCAGAGAGTTGGACAATGACTAAGGAGGAGAGAAGGAGAGTTGACGCCTTTGAGCTGTGGTGCTGGAGAAGAGTATTGAATGTACCCTGGACTGCCAAGAAAACAGGTTCATCCTGGAGAGGGTTAAACCAGGCGGCTCCTCAGAGGCAAGGATTCTGAGGCTTTGTCTGACATAATTTAGACATGTTGTAAGGAGGGACGGGTCCTTGGAGAGGGACATCATGCTTGGGAGTGTGGAAGGATGGCACAGAAGGGGAAGACCCTCTATGAGGTGGATTGATTCAGTTACTGGGGTAATCGAGATGGGTGTGTCAGAGGCAGTGCAATTGGCACAGGACAGAGGAGAGTTTAGGGCTGTTGTACATAGGGTCGCTATGAGTCACAAGCAACTCGACAGGCACATAACAACAACAACAACAACATAGGGACCTTATATATATTCTTTTTATGTTTGTGTCCAAACCATACCTGCTTGCCTTTTTGCCCATGTTTAAATTTTAAAACAACAGCTTTTTCTACTAGACACAACCCAGTAAGTTTTGGAGGCCTGAGTTATGTAAAGGCTACCCGTGTTTTCATGAGACTCATCCATGGTATTTCACACTTACGGACCCTCCTGATAGTACCTGTAGGAGAGGATTTAACTAAATGTCTTTCTTCAACATGTCCTATTTGCCAGAAGCCCAAGACCCTGGAGGTAGTCAGGGATGGAAGTCAGGTTATGCTTGGTTATTTTCCTCAATCACAATAAGAAAACGCAGAACCTACTTATAACTGTCTCTCCCACTGGCTTCCAGAGCATCACATGGAAGAAGGTTGCCCACCTTTCTCCCTCACAACAGCTGGTGGATTCAAACTGCCTGCCTCGGGGTTGTCGACGCAATTCCTAACCTACTAGGCCACCAGTGCCTCCTGTGGACTGAGATGAAATGATGCCCTAAGAAGGAGAAGCGCTGGAATCACAAAAGCCACCTTTCATCTCTTTCTTGGTCATTCATTGCATCACAGACATTGTGGACGCTCCCTGTGTGTGGTTTGCAGTAATAAATGAACACGTGTGGAAGAGTTAACCGGTGTGAGAGTGTACAACCTACTTGTAACAGTGAGATTTATACACCAGGCAAGGTCGACCTTTCATCTGACTCTGCTGACAGTGCTCCAGGCTTAAATATTACTAAGTGACATGAAAAAAAATCAAAGCTCTGAACTCTTCTCCCCAGGGTACTGATGTGCAACGGCTTGTGTTATTAGATGTCAGAATGAAATAGAATGGGTTTTCTTAAAGAGTGAGAGAAGAGTCATTCTTGAAGCTTAGGTATCTTTCAGAATAGGTGGATTAATACATTTCCTTTCAGGTCACATTCCTCGTTATAACTCAGGTGATAGTCTAGTCAAGCCCCGAAATCTCAAGGCGGTGGTTTTCCTCCTGCCTGGTGTATTTTGAACAGATGAGATGTGGGCAGGTCAGGAAACCATAAACAACTTCCCAAATCATGTATTGCAATTGTGAATTGTTATTGAATTTTCTTTAGGAAATGCGTAAATGTTCTTATTTTATATGGCATCCTTTTCATCACTTTCTGTCTGGGTAGTGCAATCCCCAATGCTGTGAATCTCTCTTCACTTATCCAAGTCAGTGTATCTGGGTGAGAGAGAAATGATCACGTTCATTCAAGATTGCGTGTCTTTTTCTTTGTTGTTTATGATGGATCACCTCCTTCCAGTTTCATTTACAAGCAGAAATCCTTTAAATGTTAAACCGGGAACTAAATGAAGAGGTGGGCCTCACATAGTGACAGATGACGTGTATGCATACCCTCTCCTTAGGCCTGCATTCAGATGAGTGCTGTGTTTTCTTGCATCAAAGTACTAAGTCCCTTTGACCCTTTTTTTTCTCTGTCAGCCCCTTTCCCTTCATCCCGTCAGAAGTCAACATGTCGCTGAGAAGTGAGGCAAGAGTAGACACCGGGGCACTGCAGAAAATCGCTGCCGACATGAGTAACCTCATCGAAAACTTGGACACGCGGGAGCTCCACTTTGAGGGGGAGGAGGTGGACTTGGATGTGTCTCCTGGTGACCCCAAGGCACAGGAAGGTAAAGACCAAGCCCCAGGGAGGGGAGGACGGGGGAGACAGTTCCTCAGGGTGGCTGGCAGGGCTTTGATTTGAATTCACAGGCCAAGTAACTGATGTTTCTGTCTCTCAATGGTCATAACACTGGAATAATATTGGGCCATTAGTTTTCTTTCACATTGTAACACCTTATGACTTTTTAAAAGGATGCCTGTAAGACTATTGTGATACAGTTTATTCTTGCAATAGCTTAATTTCTTCTTCTTTTTTTTTTTAGTGTCTATTCCTTTCTCTGCTATTTATAACACTCAAGGGTTTAAGGAGCCCAACATACAGACATATCTCCTTGGTTGCCCAATCAAAGCAAAAGTTCTGGAAGTGGAGCGCTTCACGTCTACAAAAAAGGTCAGCGTGCTTATGTCCTCCCTTTTTCATGTCAGTAAATGAGATTGAATGCATTGCCTTCAGTTTTCCTTTTTTCCTAGTCCTGCCTTGTTTTTAGGGCTTTCCATTTGTTTAGGGGCAGACTCTGTGCCTTCCAATGAGACGCTATGGTGGCCCACTGAGTAAGGAGTTGGGCTGCCAGAGCAAAGGCGAGTGGTTCGAATACACTATCTGCTCCACAGGAGAAAGATTAGCACTTTGTTCCCATGCACTTTGCATCCTCTGAAAACTCGTGCAAGGGTCAGCTTACATAGCAGCAACAGGCCTTCCAGACTCAAACGGCCTCCCAACTTGGGCGTCTTTCCACACTCAGTCTTTATTTCTTTTTCATTTTGAAAATTTTGCATGGAAGTTTACAAATCATATTGCATTTCAACCATTTATAGAGATTTTCTTTTACAATGTTAATTACAATTGATCATTGTAATTAACCAGAGTGTCTAATGAAACCCTTACTGTATATTGTCTTTCCATTCACCCAGCTTATCTGTTAATTTTTAAAATGAGTCTTTATTTCCCTTTGGCTATTCTGAATAATCACAGTTTTTCAGAAAAGGTATTTAAGATAAGGCACCAATATTTGTCTATCTACTGTACAGAGGTAACTGGTAGTTGCTGTGAAGCCACACACTGTGACACTGTTGTGTCAAATGTGATAATGGTTACCCATGGTGGACAGTTTTGGTGGAGCTCCCCGATTCACACAAGCTGGGAAGCAGGAGTGGCATCCACTTCCAAAACAGCTTGCTTCCAGAAACCCTATGAACTTGGAGAAATGATGAAAGTTCTATAAGCGTTCAGGTCTTTCGTTCATAGGATTGCTATGAGTCATCTACGACTCGACAGCACGTAACAACTGAATATAAAGGAGCCCTGAGGAAACTCTGGTGGCCGAGTGGTAAGAAGCTGCACTGCAATCCCAAAGGCATGCATTTCGAATCCTCCCCTAGCGAGAAAGATGGACAAACTCCTCCAGTGCGAGTTACTGCCTCTGAAAATTCCCTGGAGGGTAGCTATGTGTCGGTTCTGACTTGGTGATACACAACAACAACAAAGGGTGTTATAGTCCTAAGAGAATTATGCAGCTCACCCCCCACTGCCACGCTCTAGCAGTTCAAAATCACTGGTGGTTCCTGGGGACAAAGATAGACCATCTCCTCCTGTGTGAGCGTCAGCCTCAGAACCCCAGCAGAAGGCCAGCCATGGGCTGGTTCAGAAGCCACAGCAAGGATTTGCACACATATACAATATTGTATAAGACCACTGTTCAGACAAGTCAAGGGAGGATTTAGACACAGAGTTATTCTTGAATGGTTACCAGAGATGGGAAGGGAGGGCAGGGGGAGTGGAGAGTCAGTAATTCGATAATAGATGCATATTAAGAAAGGGGGAGGGAAAGGTAATATATAAAAAAAGAGATGATCAGCATAATATCAAGGAAGAAAGGGAAGACAGAGTGAGGGAGAGAAGGCTTAATGGAAGGCAGCACCGGAGCGTGGAAGTGGGCAGCGCGTGACAACACTGTATGTGTTGAAGTGAATGTCATTGAACAAAATGTGCATGAACGGTTGCATGAACGGTTGAATTTACTTTGTAAGCCTTCACTCAAATCACAGTTGCTTAGAAAAGATAACACATGAGTAGTTAATTGCAAAGTGCCTCCACTGTGCCTCCTCTCTCCCCGATATCCTGTTTAATGGGGACCCTTAGATTGTAGGCATCCCTCCTAGGTGTTGGTCAAGGAGAAGTTTAGCTTTTCAACAAGTAGAAAACAATGGCACTGTTGCTGCTGTCGTTAGGCACCCCACCCTCAAGTCCACCCCAGCTCTTAGTGACCTTCCAAACAACACATTGGAATGTCGCCCTGTCCTCTGCCATCAACACAATCCCCACCATGCTCTCTGGTGCCAGTCACTGTGGCAACCCATAATGGCACTGTTGTTGTTATGTGCCGTTGAGTCTCCTGCGACTCATAGTGACCCTATGAACAACAGCCCTAAACCCTGCTCTATCCTGTGCCAACCTCGCTGTCTCCCACACACCTACCCCCATGACCTCAGCCACTGAATCAATCCATCTCATTGAGGGTCTTCCTCTCCTGCACTGTCCCTCCACCTTCCCAAGCATGACGTCCTTCAAGGACCGGTCCCTCCTTGCAACATGACCCAAGTATGTCAGACTCTATCTAGCTGGTTTTAAAAAGCAAAGGGCCCAGGGCCTTGGAGTGGCCAGCCTCCCTCCCCAGAAGCACTACTGAGGGAACTCAAATGGCACATGCTGCCTCTTGGGATTTTTTCCGAGCACCTTACCTCTCATGTCTCATTCGATGTTTACCCTTTGCAGCCCTGGAAGGCTTTGGGATATAATCAAGTTGATTCTGAGGTGCTGTAAGGGGAGCTGCATTTACTGTTACTGTCTGCACTGCAGTTGTCACATCTGCTGGGTATGTGGCGTTTCAGCCAATAATAGAATAAGTTCCTTCCGGCACCTCCGTCAGGGGAACCTCATGTCACTTTTTAGTCTGGGTGTGTGTTATTCTCCCTTCATCCTCTCCTTTGCTAGGGTGCATGGACCCTTTGCTTTCCCACGTCTTTTGTCTAGTGTTTGGTCCCTGCCAACCTGTGTGGATTTCCTCACACTTAATGTTGGATGTGTTGTTAGCAGACTTTGCTAGCAGAGACCAGCCCTTGGCAAAGGGTATCCTTCTTGGAAAGGTGAAGGGTCACTGAAGGAGAGGAAGACCCTCAGTGAGACAAGTTGATGCAGCATCTGTGGCAATGGTCTCAAGTGTGTCAGGGATGACAAGGAAGGTGCAGGATAGGTCAGAGATCAGATATACTGCCAAGGGGCTCCCTAGGAGTTGTAGTCTCCTTGACACCCACTAACAAGGTTAGACTGAACCCCACCTTGTTGCCCGGTCTGTACTCTTCCTGATCCAAATTGAATCCTTGCCTTCCTGATATACCACAAAATACAGTCCATCCAGACAAGCATCCGATGTGAATTTTACCTTCTTATTTTGCAGTACACGTGATAGTTACCTACGTAGACTCCAGGGCCAGGCTCTAAAGTTTAATTCTTATTTTGTTTTGTGATGTTGGGCAAATTAGTGAGCCTCTCTAGAGAGTTCCTCAATTTCTTCATTAGAATGATAAATATTTCATTAACTTACTATATAAGTTTATTATGTTGTTGTTGTTAGGTGCTGTCGAGTCATAGACCACTCATAGTGACCCTATGAACGAAAGACCTGAGCAACTGTTCATAGAGTTTCCAGAGACAAGCCACTTAGGAAGTGGACACCACTCCTGCTTCCAAGCTTGTTTTAATCGGGAAGCACTGCCCACCATGGGTGACCATTATCACATTTGACACATCAGTGTCACAGGGTTCAGCTTCACAGCAACCACGAGTGACCTCTGTACAGCAATTTTTATTATGAGAATTTAATAATAACATATATTCTTATTCTTCTTCTTATTACACTTTATTGTATTTTAGGCTAATATTTAAACACCAAATTAGTTTTCCAGTCAACAATCCCTACACAGATTGTTCTGCGACCTTGGTTCCTATCCCTGCAATGTGTCTGCACTGTCCCCATTTCCATCGCTTGAGCTCTCCCCAGCCTCCTTGCTATCTCATCTTTGGATGTTTTTAGCACGTAGCCTGTTTGGCCTTGTATAGTTGATTATTCTAAGGAGCAAGCTTCTTGAGGGTGGTGATGTTTATTTTATCAACTTATCTGATATGTAACTGAAAGGTCACCTCTAGGACTGGCCTCAATTCTAAGTTAAAAGGGAATCAGAGTCTTGGAGGGTCCTCCATTCTCTGTCAGTACAGTCAATTTGGCCATTTATTAGGAGGTGAAATTTTGTTCTGTGTAGCGGTACATATTATTTTGAGCTCAGTAGCGATGGACAGCGCCATCCTGGTTTTCTGGTCTTTGGCTAAAGGAGGCTGTGGTTTGTGCGGGACATTAGTCCTGTGGACTAATTACACACACACACACACACACACACACACACACACACACACACACACACACACCGAGTCCTTATTTTCTTTCACTGCCCTTCGCTCTGGATAGGAGCACACTGATAGTTGTATCTTAGATGGTGACTCAGGTTTTTAGGATCTCAGGCACTATTCACTAGGACACAGAACATTATCTTGATTAATTAAGTTTAGCCAGTTGACGTAAATGCCCCCTGAGATTATGGCCCTGAGTCTTCAAACCCAGTGACTCAGTTCCTCAAGGAAGTTTCCAGAACCCTGTCTCATATGTGCTCTCTTACATGTATGAATATAAATCTGTCAGGTTGGAACCGACTACTGGTAGCTCTTTCTCCGATGGGCTTTCCGAGGCTATAAATCCCATAGGAAGAGATTACTCATCCTCTCTCAGAGAAGCTGGTGGGGTCAAGCCATTTGCTTCTGGTTTGGCAACATATCTTCTTACGACTAGGGTCCCAGAGCTTTAATATATATGTGACACATAAAAATATGTGCCTACAGCTGGGAAGATGAGTGCAACGGCTGGATTCCACTACGGCTTGGAAGCAGGAGTGGCATCCATGTCCAAAAAAGCTTGCCTCCAGAAACTCTGTGAACTTGGAGAAAAGATAAAAGGCTTGTGTTCAAGACTTTTGTTCATAGGGTCGCTATGGGTCGTCTACGACTCAACAGCACTTAACAACAAGTACTTACCATGATATCTACATATATGTACACGTAAGCTCATATTAGCCCATCCCACCTTTAGATAGAATGCGTATCTACCACTGTGACCACTCATAGATTTATTCTTCTTTTTTTCCCTTCTGTCTTTTTTTTCTTTATTATTAATTTCAATGGAAATTTACAGAGACTTTGGATTTCCATTCATTCATTGTTGCACTTTTCTCCCCTCTCAACCCTCTCCTCCCCCCCCTCCCAGTACACTACCCTCTTGGAAAAGT